CTGAAGTTCCTCGTCGAATGCGAAGGCATGATGTGTCATAGCGCAAAGATCAGGTCTTCGCGAGAGTGCATCTGCTGCGCGATTGGAGAGGCCGGAAAGATGTTTCGGTGTGAAGTCAAATTGGTCGATGAAGTACATCCATCGTCCGATCGTGCTGCTCACCGTATCCTGCGTCTTGTAGTAGGTCAATGGGTTGTTGTCCGTAACCCATGTGAACCTACGACGCCCAAGGAGGAAGTGCCGCCATCGCTTGAGAGCCATCACGAACGCGAGCAGCTCCTTCTTCCTTTCATCATCAAGCGAGTTGATGGGAGGCACTTTGTGGCTGAAGTATTCCACAGGGTGCCAGTCGTCGTCGTCGTGTTGTTCTGAGACTGCCCCAATGCCATAGCCGGAATCGTCAGTTGTCACTCTCATAGGCAGGGTGGGGTCATAGATGCTAAGGACGGGTGCCATGAGCATGGCCATCTTAAGTGCTTGGAATGACCGGCGTGCGTCGTCATCGAATACGAATGGCACCTTTGGCGATTGTAATATCGTCATAGGTGCAGCAATCCTTGAGTATCCGGTGATGAATCGCTGATAGTAGCCCGCCAACCCCATGAATGAACGAACGTCCGTGGTGTTGGTGGGCTCGGGCCATACGCGGAGGGCCTCGATCTTGTCTGCAAGCGGACGGATGCCTTGCGGCGTCACATAATGTCCCAAGTACTCAAGCTCCTGCCGCGCGAATTCGCATTTATCGTGGTTGGCTTTGTACTTGGCTTGTCGTAGCCGCTCCAAAACGGTGCGCAGGTGTTCCACATGCTCGTCCAAACTCCAGCTGTACACGAGGATGTCGTCGAGGTAGATAAGTACGAATCGATCCAGCATGTGTCGGAACTCCGTTGTCATAGCCGCTTGGAAAGTGGCCGGGGCATTCGTAAGGCCAAATGGCATAACCAGCCATTCGAAATGCCCATATCGCGTCTTAAACGCGGTCTTGTAGCGGTCCTCCTTCCGAATCTCGAGTTGGTGATATCCCGATTTGAGGTCCAACTTGGAGAAGAACTTGGCGCCGCCCAGTCGTTTGAGAAGGTCGTCGATGCGTGGGAGAGGGCCGGCGTTTCTGATCGTTTGTGCGTTGAGCTTGCGATAATCGATGCACAATCGCAAATCCTTATTCTTCTTCCGGACGAAGAGAACAGGAGCACCATATGGCGATGAGCTAGGCCGAATCCAGCCTTTCTCCAGAAGGTCGTCGAGTTGTGCGCGAAGCACACTTAACTCTTCCTCGCTCATTCGGTAGATGCAACCGCGCGGAGGTACGACCCCGTCCTCGAGGATGATCTCGTGGCGGATGGGCCGATCCGGTACTACTCCGTGCGGGCCTTCGAACATGTCGCCGTAGGTGTCGAGAAACTCGGTGATGCGTGGGTCCGAAGATGAGTCCTTAGATGAAGCGTCATGCGGTGGGAGGGCGTGGAGACAACACACCCCCATCTCCTCGATGTCGTCTCTGATGATGGAAGCTCGTATGCTTGCGGCGGACACCATGTGACAACTGATTGAAGGGTGAGGAGGAGCTACCGTGCATGGGACTAGTACTCCGTTCCGATCACGAACGTGAACGGTGCGGCGGTAGAAGATCACCGGGTGATCCTCGCTTCGCAGCCATGACATGCCTAAGATCATGTCGAATTTGGTGTCCAAAATATCGAAGGACACTCGCCTCGCTCGCGTGCGGGGCAAAGTACACGGGGACGTCATCAATGCACCGTTGACTTGTGCGTGCGACTGTCCGCCAACGCGACTTGCGTCTGCTGGGACTTCCTCCGGACGCGTGGGCCAAGGACGGCGCGTACCATAAAGTCCTGGCTCATGTAGTTGCGAGATGCTCCGCAATCGATCAAAACGCTGCAGGTCGCCTCTCCGATTTGAATGCGTATATATAACAATGGTGCATTGATGTCGTCGTACCGTTGCGTCTTGAACTCGCGGTCGATCTTCGCAATGTAGGCGTGAAGGTCGACAACCTCTACTCCGACGTCCATCAACGGAGTTGGTACTGCAGTGTGCAAGTAATCCCGCAATTGTGCCATGAGCACGTTGCAATGCGGTTTCAGCAATCGACCGGACCGAGGAAGGGGCATCCATTGGAAGTCCGCAAACGTCAACGGGTCGAGCTCTTCAAGTCTTGACCAAGACGTTGAATCCCCGGCGGTAGATGGCGGCGAAGCTGCCGAATCGGTTGCCGATGGTGATGAAACCGTGCATGCGGTAGATTGTTGCACGTGGAGCGGTTGGTCCAGCGGTGGGACCAAGTGGACAGCATAGTCCTCGTAAGCATACCGAGAACTTACGACATTCGCATCCTCCCCAGATGTATAGGAGGCCGCTAGCAAGGCGGCCGAATCTGGGCGGAGTGGGAGGTGGAGTCGCCTCACCTCCCGCGGAACTCGGTTTCCCGAGTTGATACGAGGCCGAACATCCTCCTTGCCCTGATCCTGGCAGAGGGAGGTCTTGTGCTTGGTGCTGTTGCACCAATAGCAGCAGCCGTAGCGGCCGTGGAACTTGTACTCGGCCTCGGTCAAATGAAATTTGACCCATGGTGCTGGCTGTCCGTTTTCGGCCGACGATGCGGTTTTCACCTTCCCGTTTCCTCGGATCTTTTGTTGTTGCTTCGCGGCTGGATAACAGCCACCTGATCTCCCTCACGTGACGCTTGGGTGGCTGCCGGGTCTTCCACAATGTTGTCCGATTGGACTGCAGCGAAGTGCTGCGGTCGCAGACCAGTTTTCACCTTCTTTACATAGGTTGGCTGCCACGTTGACTTCTCGTGTGCAGCCGTCCTGTTGGTCTTGATGATCTCCCTCGCCTTGTCAATGATCTCAGCGAAGGTTGCATATTGCTCGCGATCACCAAGTGTGAGGCTCAATGCAGCACATGACCTGTTGTAGAACTTGCGGCGCAGATGCGAAAATGGCAAGTCGAGACCGGGCGTTGCCGCGATCTTCTGCCATTCCATGAGCCAATCACGTGTTGCTGTGTTGCCTTGCGTCATGCCGAAGAGACGGTTGATGGCAAGTGCAGGTGCGTCGTCCACGATGAACCGCTTCTTCCATAGCCGTGTTAACTCTTCCCATGATATCTTGTCTTTCAGATCTGCGACGTCGACGTCGTGGGTGGATGCCAGGTGGCTCAACCAGGTCTGGCATCCGCCCTTTGAGTTGAGAAACAGGGCGCCGATGTACGCGTGCTTGGCGACGAACAGAATCCGAAGTTGTGTCGTAAAGCCTTCCCACCAGAGGACCGGGTCTTGATGCGTGTAGTCATCGAACTTCTCAATTTGGAATGTCGGCATCTTGTAATGCGTTGTGCTGTTGCCATCCTTGTTAGGCAGCTGCAGTTGCTGAACCTCGGTCTTCAAGGTATCCAACTGTTTGTTGATGGTGGTTGGCGCCTCGAAGGTGCTGATGTCGCCGAGCATTGCGACGACGTGGTCGACGCGTTCCTCCAGTTGGTGGGTAGAGGGTGCACTGCTGGACTCGCCAGCCTCCGGTCTTGGTACAACTTGCTCCAAGTCCTGCATACAGGAATCAAGTGCCCGTGCTGCATCCTCATGCTGAGCCTTGTGGGTCCGCATGGCCTGCTACATATTCGCCAGCTCGGACTGCAGGTGCTTACAAGTGTAAACCAACCGAGTCACGAGTTTGGCCATGAATTCCCTGTGTTGTTCCTCCGGTGTCGTGTTGTCGTGCCCTTCAGATGGTTCAAAATGCCAATACTTGAGTCTTTCGATGCTGGCGGCTTCATGCCGCTGCAGCAGATCCTGGGCTTCCTTTCGGCGTGCCTGGGTATCTGCATCTGCTTCGGCCTGAAGCCGCTGCTTCTCAGCTGTTGCTGCTGCTTCAACCTGTAGGCGGGCAGCCTCGACTGCCAGCTGCCGCTGTTCCTCAGCCTCGATCAGTGCGAGCTGAGTCTGGAACCGCTGTTTGTAGTCGGCAATAGACTCGTTGGCCAGTTGGCCTGGCATGCCCAGAGCTGCGCCCGTCATGGTGGCGGAGCATTGCTGACGTGGCATTGTTACTGCTTAGGTGGCACTGCTTACATGGCACTGCTTACGTGGCACTGCTGACGTGGCACTGTGACCGACGTGGCACTGCTAACGTGGCACTGCTGACATGGCACTGTTGCTAACGTGGCACTGCGGACGTGGCACTGTTGCTGACGTGGCACTGCTGACGTGACACTGTTGCTGACGTGACACTGTTGCTGACGTGGCACTGTTGCTGACATGGCACTGTTGACGTGGCACTGTTGCTGACATGGCACTGCTGATGTGGCACTGTTGCTGACGTGGCACTGCTGATGTGGCACTGTACCAACTCGGAAATGCATGCAAAGGGTGGGTGGGGAGGGAAAACGCAGGTAGGGAACCAACCCAACAATACTTTCCTCCCGGCCCTAATCAACAGATAAAATAAAAAAATAAAAAATAAAAGAGGACAATTTTTTTTTTTTCTTTTTTTTTTTTTTATATCTGTCGATCTGTTATGAGTGAGACATGTCAGAAGAGTACTATGAACGAGATCTAGGCTAGGTTCCCCAGGGTTTCGGCTTTCACAAAATGCGATCTTGAAAAAAAAAATTGCGAAATAGAGTAAAGATGTGATTTTCAGAAAAGAACGAAATCCAGTTTCTGAGAATATGGCAACCTCCGAATATGCCTAACGAAATGTTTATAGGCTTTGAAAGATTTCGGTTTTCAACAAAAAATTGCGAGATAGAATGGAAATTCTATTTTCAGAAAAGAATAATTCCGGTTTCCGAGAATATGACCACTTCTATCGTTATCCCAATATGCCTAGAAAACGAAATACTAACTTCAGAAATTTTCAGCTATGTATGCGAAATATCAGAGAAACGAAATGCTACTATCGGGAATTTTCAGACAAAACGAAATACGATATATCAGAAATTTTCAGATATTTGTTATGTGAAAACGAAATACCAATATCAGAAATTTTCAGGTAAAACGAAATGCGAATATCAGAAATTTTCAGATAGTTGTTGCGAGAAAAGAAAAAAAAAATTCAGAGATTTGACGAAGTCCTACTTGATTTACTAACGAGTAATCAATAGATCAAGCAAGCTGGCTACTTGATTGAGCGGGTCCTCTGAATGAGAGGTCCGCTCCGATACCAAACTGTTGCATACTGTAAAGGTGCAGACCAGAACAAGAACCGACCTCTCTAACAAAGTACAAGATAGCGCAGCGGAAAACTTAGATACCAATATTCTGAACAATCAATATTGCAATGCAGCCCAGAACATACATCATCATCATCACTCCATGGTGTGAAGGGGTCTGGCGCTCACACAGGAAGACTGCGCCAGCCCCAACCATGCACAGACGAAGAAGAGGGGGTTAGACGAAGAAGAGGGGAAGATAGGAATGTCGTCAACACCAAGTCTTCGGCACAGGTCCCTCGTCAAAATGTCAGAATCCCAATGTCGAGTCTGGATCCAATGTCGTCAAGTCTCAAGTCACAACTCTCTCTCCCTGTTGTAGTCCGTTGATACTGAGAAGTTAGGTGGTGAGAGGGTGAAGAAGAGATGGTGGACTTAGAAGAGGAAGAAGAAGAACTGAATGCGCTAGCGCCCCCCGGTAAGCGCCACGCTGCGTTCGCGTCGCGCCATCGCTCGGCCCCGGCGGGGCGCCAGTTTGGACCTCCGCAATCCCGCCATAGCCCACCCCACGCTGATCACCAAGTGCGCGCGCCCTGCGCGCGCGTCCATTTGGATGGCCGTCGTGATTTCGCGAAGACATTGAAGGGGGCATAAACGAGTGGAATCGAAGAGATGCCTACGCGCCGCGCCACCGCGAAGGAGCTTATCCTACCAGAAGTTGAAACTAGAGTGTCAGCCCTACTCTCAAGACCAACAGCTGATGTCGCAAGAAATGAAGGAGTTTGCCCGCCTGAGTGAGAGCAACTAATCACTCGCCACTTGCTCACTTTCTCGCCACTTTCTCAACTGACGCCCTTCCGCTCGCTTCTCCTCCACGTCTTCCCTCTTAGCCCTCTCGCCTGCGCTTACTGAACCCGATCCCGACCGTTCGACTCTAGCCCAATCCCCGACCTTGCTTCCCCTCCTAATCCCAACTCCCAAATTTTACCCCTTCCACTCAGAAGATCTCTATCCCCCGCGACCTCTCAATTAGCCCCATCACGACGCCCCCATCCCCAACGACGAAGTTTCCTCACCCCGACGGTGAAGACCTCTCCTCCAGTCCCGACCCCTACATCGATTCCCAACTTTCGAGTACCTCCCATCCCGCCCTCACCCGACCCGTCCTCGACTTTTCGCCAGATCTCATCCCCAACCCTTAACTCCCACACTTCCCGATCCAGTTCCCTCCTCACTAGAACCCATCCCCGCCCCCTCTCTTTATCCCCCTCGATCCCTTCCTTCCTCCATTTCGATATTGATTCTCCTCCAGTCCCCAGCTTAACTCCTTCCCTTCCGCCCGGTTCTCGACTTCGTTGTCGAATATCGACTCCTTCCCTCCCGCTTCGTCTCCAACCTCGGGTCCTATCCTTGATTACCTCCCACTCCAACCTCGATTCCTTCCCAATCCCAACTCCAAAATCTCAGCTTCGATTCCCTCCCTTCCATATCCCAATCGAGTTACACCCCTAATAGAGCCTTTCTTAATCCCCGTCGACTTCGACACATCCCCGTCCCAACGTCGACTCCCTTCTACTCCCATTTCATTCCCCGCTCTTGCTCGGATCCCGCTTCACCCCCATTCACATCCCCACTCCATCCCGGCTCCGATCCCGCCCTATCCCTTCCAGATCCCGTCCCTATTGCGAACCTATTCCACGTCCATCAGCGTTCTTTCCCATCACGGGACCTCTCCAACCCCCGCACCCGCTCCGTCCAGCTCCTACCCCATCTCCGACCCCCGATCCCAACTCTAACCCCTCTCCCATCTTGATCCACCTCGATTGTTCCAGTCGCCCTCTTACTCTGATCCACCCGCATCCCCATTCCACCTACCCCAATCCCAGCCTGATCCAACTCAAGTCCACCCCGATTCCACTCCACTCTCGCCCCCGCTCCGACTCCCTTCCACTCTCAACTTCACCCCCCGCTCTTGCTCCGATCCCGCTTCACCCCATTCAGATCACCACTTCATCCTGGCTCCGATCCCGCCCCATCCCTTCTAGACCCCGTCCCTATTGCGAATCTGTTCCGCGTCCATCCGGGTTCCCATCTCGGAACCTCTCCAACCCCCGCACCGGTTCTGTCTAGCTCCTACCCCATCTCCGACCCCCGATCCCAACTCTAACTCCTCCCCCATCTTGATCCACCTCGATTGTTCTAGTCGCCCTCTCACTCTGATCCACCTGCACCCCCATTCCACCCACCCCAATCCCAGCCTGATCCAACCTAAAGTCCACCCCGATCCCACTCCACTCTCGCCCCCGCTCCGACTCCCTTCCATTCCCAACTTCATTCCCCGTTCTTGATCCGATTCCGCTTCACCCCATTCAGATCCCCACTCCATTCCGCCTCCGATCCCGCCCCATCCCTTCCAGATCCCGTCCCTATTTCGAACCTGTTCCGCGTTCATCCGGGTTCTTTCCCATCCCGGAACCTCTCTAACTCCGCACCCGTTCTGACTAGTTCCTATCCCATCTCCGACTCCCGATCCCAACTCGGACCCCTCTCCCATCTTGATCCACCTCGACTGTTCCAGTCGCCTCCTCACTCTGTTCCACCCGCTTCCCCACTCCACTTACCCCAATCCCAGCCCGATCCAACTCAAAGTCCACCCCGATCCCACTCCACTCTCGCCCCCGCTCCGATCCCATCCTGAACCTTTCGTCCCCGATCCAAGTTCCCCAAGCCGATTCCATTCAATCTCTCACACTTCCCCAACTAAATCACATTCGACCCCTCGCCTCTCCCCAATCCACTCCCACCCGATCTATCGCACGTCCCTATTCCGATCCCACCTGATCTCTCACACAATGGCTGCCCCCACTCATTCAATAGGCACAATCAACCTGAACACGGCAGAAAAAGTTGTTAGTGTGATCGATAATGAGGCACTTGAATTTCTGATAGACAAGACAAAAGTTCACGGAATACAGACAACAGAGACTCAAAAAGTTGAAGGTAGAGAAGAAGAAGTCATTATCTGGAAGTACCCCGAAGAAAAGGTCGCAGAATTGGACGACCTGCACGAGAAGCACGGCGTTGTTTTCAACTTCACCCGCAATGGTGCAGATCTTCAACCAGCAGAGAAGAGAAAGTGGGTCATAGAAACGATCAGAAAAGAGCTCAAAATAAAGCAGTCAGGAGAAACTTTCACTCTGCAAAATCTGGGTAGAAACAACATAATGGCCTTATTCATCCAAGAGGATCACGCGAAGGCTGCGGCCGATATGCAGTCCAGAAACTGCAATGGATCTGTATGTCCAATCAACAAATGGAAGAAACTGTCTGCCCAGCGACAGAACCCGGGATTTGCAGTGTCCTATAAACAGACTCTGCTAAAGGAAAACTTCTGGGTGCAGTTTGACAACATCCAACCGGGATTCCACGGACTGTTAGGGGATAGGCTGGAAAGGCAATACACAGCGAACAGGATCCTTAAATGGATCCTGCCAACACCCGATTTCTTGGCCCCGCATTGCGGGACTATGACAGCTGTATTGGAAGTCAAAACTGACAACCCCCCAGTATTCCCTCATACGTGGAAACTGCAAATTGAAAACAGAATTGTGGAGATCAAGGTGTCAACCAAGACTTCCCCGATCTGTTTCCGATGCAGGGAACGGGGACACATGGGTTCAGACCCCAACTGCCCAAAATTCCCGAAGCAGCCAAAAGAGCGCAAACTTCTCCCAAATATGTTGGTCGAAGTGGAGGATGCCCCGGGAATATGGTTCATCGCTGACAATGCCTATGACGGTTGGGTCTTCAACGACAACCTTGACGAACCAGACTGGGTGTGGCACTACGCAGATTTCGAACCATTGGTTAAAAAGCCGAATATTTTCCCCCCTGCAGACAGCAGATGGCAAAAAAAAGCAACGGGGAAAGTGACA